CTCCCCCCACCTACAATCCCTGCCGGTACGAGACTCGAACCCACAACCTTTTGGGTTATGAGTCCGACTCGCTAACCATTAGGCCACGACTTCCCCATATGTGTAATGTACTGTATAATAACAATAATATAAAAATACTATAGTACAGTAAAATAAAGAATATAATATTTAATAATAATAATGAAATATTGTATGTAAAATAAAATAAAAGTAATAATGATAATAATATATTATTATTATTATTAATGCTGTTGTTAAAATATTTTTATTTTATCAAATTATAAAAATTAAATAAATTACTATCATAAAAATTACATGTAAAAAGTATATTTAAAAAAAGTATTTAATAATAATTAGTGCTGTCAAACGATTAATCGCAATTAATCGCATCCAACACAAACATACATGTATACATTTTAAAAATATTTACATGTATATATATATATATATATATTCAAATATCATTTATATTATACATAAATATTAATATTTTATATAACAACAAAACACATTTTTCTTAAATATATACATGCATGTGTGTGTATTTATATATAGATAATAAATATACACAGTACACACATATATTATGTAAAAAAATAACTTTTATTTTGGATGCGATTAATTGCAATTAATCGTTTGACAGCACTAAAAATAATATAATTAGCAATTAATCGTTTGACAACACTAAAAATAATATAATTATATAATTTAATAATAATAATAACTATTATTATTATTATTATTACATTTTACATAATACCAGCAAAATTACGATATTCATGGCCGTCTTCATTTCTTCTTCTTCACCTTCAAACATTATTTTGAAAGATCACCAGCTTTTTGTGCAGTTTTGTCACAAATCATACTTTCAGGTCAAAATGCGTACAGGTCTGAAAACACCAAGAAACAGCCAGAAAAGCCTAGCAACCACCCAGAAGACCGTAGCAACCACAACGAAACATCCCAGAAAACCATTACAATAAAACAGAAACAATATAGCAACCACATAGATACACTCCAGCAACCGCCCAAAACTTACACAAACTCCTGACAGCACGCTTTTCTCCCTCAAACTGCTAGACTTAAATACAAACCATCTGTCTGAACAAAAGACCGAATGAATCATTTCTGCTGACTGAATGAACTGCATTCTATTCTTATTTTGCAATAATGGACGATTATCTGTCATTTTATAGGACTGCAGTGGATAAAAATCCAGCATCAAGGAGAAATTCAGTGTCTGACTTCACAGTTTGTGTTGATTAAGCAGGATGTCTGCTAAATGAGCCGAGAGTCTCTCACATCTGCTGGAGAACCAGAGCGACTCCTCGTTTAGAGGAGCAGAGAGACTGGTTTTTAATGTGCCGCATCAATGGCTCATCAGCTCCACACCTGCTCTCCTGACACACACCAGTCTCACGAGTGAAGCTCTTTACTTCCACGGGAAGATCTCACGACGATGAGATACGAAGCAAAAGGGCCAGTGATCATCATCCGTATGCGTTCAAAAGCCCTGCTCACTCCACACCTCCGTCTCTGTGATTACAGCAACACTCTGACTTGCTTTATAAAACCATAAACATGAAATACACTATTCCTCAGAACACATTCAGGTCTGTTTTGACCTGGAAGGGATACATAAAAATGTGCAATTTTTAGTAAGGGAACTAAACTTTGCAAATGCTTTAAGACCCTGAAAATACACATAATTTATATTTTTCAGATTTTTTAAAATTATTTTTAAAGAGATATAATCTTTTTTTTTTTTTTACATTTTATATGTATGGAGTACGTTAGGTGTCAAAAATACTTTGTAAAATTATCTGTGAAGTTACATTAGTGTCAAAAATACTTTGTAAAATTATCTGTGAAGTTACATTAGTATCAAAAATATATGTAGTCTTTTCCTCATATCTCACACACTTTTTGGACTGAATTTTGTTGATAAACATGAATATGTACGTCTATTGATGAACCACTGCAGCATGAAAAAACAATTACATTTTTCATCTGAAAGTCAAAGTTTATGCAAGTAAAATGAATTGATTTTGTAATATTGGTTTTGATAGAAATAAATATGTGGACTTCATAAATTTGGACTGTTTCATGAGTTAAAAATTCAAAGGAATGAAATTAAATTCCATTCCAATGCTGGTCATTTTTCAGATTATATGTTCATATAAATGACATACAATGATACATTTAAATAAAATTTCTCATCAATTCTATATAGAGAGAGAGAGAACAGCAGGGCAAAAAAATATATACATATATTTTTTTTTTTTGGTGTGGTTTATGTGTAATTTGAAATTTCTCAAATTTTTCATGAATACAAAAAGGTGTAAATGCAGTAATAACATTGAACACTAAATTTTTTCACACAATCACTCATTAATGAGAAGTTGCTGATCAGATACAATATGGTTTTACATGACACATATTAAATTATGACTGTTATATAAATAAATAAATAATAATAATTAAATATTCTGGTCCAAACAAACCCGGAATGCAAAAACAGTATCCAGATTTTGAATGCATTATGGGGGCTATGGAAAGTTTCTATTATTTGGACAGCAGCATCTGAAACACAACAACAGCAGGTTAGTGAGCCTCTGACAGCAAAAAGCCTAACTTTATCTGGCAAGGCATCTTGGGAAGAATCTTTTGGTATGCCTTATCCACTCCTAGTATTGTTCAGCTGTAATGTCTTGGCATGCAGCATCCATTGCATCCTGGAGGGATATTTGGCCCT